CCTGAGTTCAATCCCCGGTAATGGAAAAAAAAAAAAAAAAAAAAAAAGAACCATTGAGGATTAGATTTTTAACATAAGAACTTCAAGGAAAAACAAACATTTAGTCCATAGTAGTCATAAAAGAAACTAAAAAATTTGTATTAAAATTGTAGGTCACCATTACTCTGAGGAGAGGACTATGAATAACTGAAGTTAGAACTGGGAGGCACTTTGCTTTGCTGTCTTCAATCAAGTTGAGGGTGCAAAAATGCAGAGTAATAAAACTTTTAGCTTGGAGAAGCATGTCCATACTCCCGGAGCATCTCCACACTCCTGGAGCATCTCCACACTCCCAGAGCATCCTCAGCATCACCACCACAGCACCAGCAGCACCAGCACCAGCACCAGCAGCCATCACCACCAATACCTGCAAATGGGCAAAAGGCCAGTAGCCAATATCAAGGTTTGACTATTGAGCTAAAGAGTTTTAAGAAACCAGAAGAGAAAACATTTACCGGATGTAGCCGTCGCTTTGTGGGCAGTCTTGCCCCTGATATCCCTGAGGAGGAAATGAGGAAACTATTAGAGAATAAGGGGAAAGTAGGAGAAGTTTTCCTTTAGAAGGATTAAGGCTTTGGCTTTATCTACATAAAAGCATGAACCCTTGCAGAGATTGCCAAAGTAGAGCTGCGTAATAGGGCCCTCAGTGGAAAACAACTGCTCATGGGCTTTCCCTGCCATAGTGCATCCTTTACAGTCTGAAACCTACTACTAGAACAAGCCTTTTCTGTGTTTGGCCAGGTGGAAGGTGTAGTCATTGCGGATGATCGAGGAAGAACCTCAGGAAAAGGCATGCTGAGCTCCCAGGGAAGCCAGCTGCACCGAGAGCTCTGGACAGATGCAGTGAAAGGTCTTTCCGGCTAACCACATTTCCTAGGCCTGTGACTGGAGCCTGTGGACCAGTTAGATGATGGTGAAGCTTTCCAGAGAGGCTTGTTATGAAAAACCAGCAATTTCACAAGAGGGGAAAGCAGCCGCCTCGATTTGCACAGCCTGGCTCTTTTAAATAAAGATACACCAAGTGCTGGAAAGTGCTTATGGAGGGATCCGGTGGACTGCAACATCAAGGAGGCCCGTGAGAAGCTGGACATAGGGACAGAAGCTGCCCGCCATGAGCACCAGGAGATGCTGATGAGGCGCAGTTTGATGAGGCGCCAAGAGGAACTTCTGGGAATAGAGGAGCCGCATAGCCAAGAGGTCCGAAAACGAAAGCAGCTGGAGCTCAGGCAGGACAGGAGCAGAGGCTCTGTGAAGCAGAGATGTGGTGGCAACAAGAAGAGCTGATGCGGCGACAGCAGGAGGGATTCAAGGGAACCTTCCCTGATGGGAGAGAACAAGAGACACAGATGAGCCAGGTGGCTGTGGAGGCGCCATGCGCCCTGCTCCTGTGCCGGCAGGTGCCCCAGCTCTCCCAGGACCTGCCACTTACAATGGCCAAAGGAACCTTGAGACTGACCCCACCAACACGTGAACGCCTTGGCCAGGCTGCCGAAATGGAATTGGGGCAACTGGTGAGACCCTCTGCTTTCAATCATGCAGCTCCTGGAGCTGAATGTGCTCTAAACAAATGTCGCTGGTTAGGATAGGGGCTGGTGAGATGGCTCAGTGGTCTAAAGCACCTACTTAGAACAAGCTAAGCTAAGCAAAGCACAGGGACCACGGTTCGATCCCCCAGCACCACATGCCAGCCAGCCCTGCCCCATGGTGGGCTGAGCTGGCCACACACACACACTAAATAAATAAATAAATAAATATGCATTTAAAAAAAAGAATAATGTACAAAGTGGTTAGGATAAATATATAGTTACATTCTCTTAATGAATAGAGGGATTTGTTCTAATGGTGTTTGTAAATAGGATATTATGTCTGCATCTTGTACAGCAATTAACCACTAGGAAGAATGTATGCAATGTGTTGATTATTGAAACTGTCCTACCAATTTGGTTTGAAACTGTCTCATTGCTATTTGTTTCTCAATAAAATTATGGGAAAAAAAATAAAAAAAAAATAAACAAATGTCGCTGATACTAAGAAAGCTGCAGTGTCTAGTGTCTTGAAACCCTTAAAGCAGGAACCCTTTTGGGCTAGACAGAATTCTACCTTGAAAGTGTTAGGGATTCTGCCCAACAGGTCTTCCCTGCTGTGCAAGCCAGGGGAGTAGGCTGGGGCAGAGGGCAAGGGAGGGGTGATGTTTAACAAATCAGTTCTGTGTGATGCATTCCTGAAATTTGAAATTCAATGGATAGTTGAAGGCTTGTGGGAACCATGCAGGACACAGTGGTTCCCTAGAGTCCCACTGAGCGTCAGCATTCTGGTTGTCTGTCCACTGTATTTTATTTGCCTTCTACACCTCTCACCCCTGCAGACTGCCGCACATACCACAGACACCATCTCCCAGCAAAGCTCACCCCATTGCTCCACTGGCTCCCAGTGAGAATTCAGGCAAATGACCTCGGAGGTCACAGACAGCATATGTACGGTTTGGTCATATCCCACATGTTACCCTTTCATGTACTAAAGACATTTGCTCTTAAGAGATTTTCATTTTGGTATATCTATAAAAAAAAATATCTTGTGCTAACTTGCCTCCATCTTTTCCTTGGATAAGGACTTCCCAGAAATGACCCTTGTGTGTCTATGATGTTGATGTTCCCAGCTTGTCTTGGTAGGCCTAGTACAACCCTAGCAAGGGGGCTGCTGCGTGCTGAAGGGTGACAGTAGCTCTTAATCGCGCCTATCTTAGGTAGCTCTGATGTATATTTTTTATTGATGTGCCATGCTTATCTCTGATACCTTAAATTTGGAGTTTTTCTGAAAAATGGAGCAGTAACACAGCATCAGTTTAGTACATATTTAAACCTTTAGAAAATATAAAAAGGGCTGGCTTGATAGCTGAGCAGACTAAAGCACCCGCTTAGGCAGAGCACAGAGGCCAGAATTCGATCCTCAGCAAACTGTGCCGGCCCCACCCGCTAGGCACACTGAGACACCATTGAGACTGGGTGTGGTGGTGCGCGCCTGAAATGCTGCTCCTGGGAGGCTGCAAACAGGAGGATCACTATGAGTCTGATGTACCTAGTGAGAACCTGTAGACTCTGCATCCCCTGTACTAAATGCATTAAAAAAAAAGAAAAAGAAAAAGTAAATTGTAATGTACATGCATTGGAATCTATTGTTCAGACACTTTGGAGAGGCAAGGTACAGACTGGGAGAATGTTCACAATATATATCTTTGACAGAGAACTTGCATTCAGAATATATTAAGTTTTCCATACACACACTTAAAACAAAAAGGTCTGGGGACACAGCTCAGTATGAAGGCCCTTCAATCCCTAGTACCACAAAATGAAAAACTTACCATTAATAAATAAATAAATAAATAAATCCAAACGGCATCAAAGTCAAGCACGATGGCATTTATTTGTGAAAGGTTACACAATGGAGCATTTCCAAAAGAGTAAGGAAGTGCAGTGTGTACTGGCCTCCAAAATACAAATGCAGGTCTGGGGTGGGGTACAAGGGCAGAGCGTGTGCTCAGCATGCCCAGGACGGGGGCAGAGGCTAGAACCCAAAGCCCTTGTCCTCGGTAGGGTGGAGGGTGCACTGAAGCCAGGAGTCCAATCTGGTGTGGCATGTTCATAATTCTAATGATCAGGACGGAAGAGAAGGAAGAGTTTCCTGTGTGCCAGTCAAGGATGGAGGATGGAGGAAGAGAGGGCAGGAGCACTGGGGTGGTCAGGAAGAGTGCTTCTGCCTGAACTAGATGGAGCCATTGAAAGAGCAGTGCCTGATGCCGAGTCTAAGCAGGTGTCAGGTCTTGGGCAATGCTGGGGAAAGACAGCCCTGAGGTTGAGGCCGCAGAACAAACAAAGGCTGAAGTGGGGAAGTTTTGGGGAATGCAGGAGCCGGGGAGGCGGGCCGGACCTTTTAGAGCCTATTACAGAAAGATGCGTTATCACAGCACAGAAACTGCACTTTCGATTTCTTATTGAAGAGGGCCATGGGGATGCACAGGTCACTGCAGCCTTGCCGAGCATACTGGAACTTGTCGTCTGGAAAGGAAGAAAGACAGGAGCAAACAATAACTGTGCTGACAGAATCCATGACTCAGTGCACGAGGAGATGCAGCACACTGCCCTGCAGCCAGGCTCCCAGGCGGGAATGGATATCAGCCATTCAGAGGTGACTGAGGTGGCCCCCTGAGCCCATCTCCAGCCTTAATCTTACCCACATGCAGACAGCTAGCTTTCCAAAAGTGCTATTAGTGGGGTTTTGTGGTATAACTTCTGTCACTTCTGAGTATGTTTACCCAGATCTTTGATGACCACCAGAGACCCCTCAACAAGAATTCTCTTCTCAGGGCTGGGCAGATGGCTCAGTAGAATAAGCGCTTCCCTGGCAAGCACAAAGGCCTGAGTTCAATCCCCAGTTCTGCCAAAAAAAGAATTCTCTTCTCTTACAGGTCTGTCAGCCCAGTCAAAATATGGCACCTGGGTACCAAGACCTAAGAAGCCTTTTCTTTCTTTGATGGAGCAAGAGCCCCGCTTGCTCTTGAGAAGGCCACCTCCCTCAAGTCCAGGCAAGGGACATCCTGACAGTAGACACTCCCTACCATCATAGATCTTCCGCAGGAAGCACCTCTGGCTGCCGTAAGTCTGGCAGGAGCTCTCCTGTTTCTCACAAACTCCATCAGCATTCCTCAGATCACACTGGATACATGTCAGAGCTGGAAAAGCAGAAAGAGCTGCGTTGGTCAGGGGCCAATGCAGCGGTCCTGAGGCTGAAAAGGGAAAACGGCCATCCCCTGAGCAAGTGCCTAAGGGAAGGCCTCATGCTCTGGCTAGGCTCTGCTGGACTGCAGCTAGAGGATTCCCACCCCACACACTACCAGGCTAAACGGGGCTTCAGGAAGGAAGAGATAGGGCTTGCTTCAGGGACTGTCCCATTTCTGGGACCCCTCTTCCATGTCCTTTCATGGCTTATCTTCATCCTCTGCAAAGGACCTTCCTTGTCTCCTTTCCACTTCAAATTCAGGGCTACATGCAGGAAAGCTGGAGGAATTAGGACTATTGGGGATTAGATTTGAGGCAGGAGAAAAGAGAAGCCTGAAGGAGGAGGAGAGGAGTGGGCTGGGCCCAAGGTGAAGGAAGCAAAAAAGAGAAAGAAGTGCGAGTGATGAAGTGTGCCAATTGCCTCTACAGGCCTGGTTCCTGCGCCTCACATCCTCAAAGTCCAGCAATAATCTGCAGCATCAGTTAGTCCACTTGCCCAGCCTTCATGCTGGCTGTCCCCAAAGGCTCACCTTGCATGAAGTTCGACAGCAGGGCAATGCCCAGCAAGAGCAGCAGGTACCTTCCCGCAGTCATGGTACCCAGGACCTAGGAGCAACAGCAGCCAAGTCAGAGCTGCCCCAGCTTTATCATCCCAGGCTGAGCATGGCAGCCAATGGGAGCCCAGGCCAGCTGAGTTTCCAGGAGGCAGTGTGAGCACAGCGCCTGCAGGGGAACCCAAGTCCTACCTGCCTCACTGGCTTGCTCTCTCCTCCACTAGCTGATCTTCACAGATTTTTTTTTTAAGCTTTTAAATGGGGGAATCGTGTGACTTATCCAAAGATAATGTGAGGACAGATGGTTGATAAGCCACGACCAGTGTGGCATACTGTGCGATGCTTTTTCCGTACCTAAGGAAATGACTTCCCCCAGTATGGAGAGTCCAAATTCTTCCAAGCTCATGGAAGTGACAGTCGGGCTGCTATTCCAAAAGCCCTAACTCATAACAGATCTGGATTCATCTTCCAGGCAGGATGCAGGTCCAACTAGCGTTCATAAACCTGAGGGAATTTTAAAACACGGATTTCAAGAAACACATTTGTGGCTTCGGTGTCAGGCTTCTCGGAGGCTGTAGGCACACTCTAGGCCCAGGACCTCTTCTTACCTAGATGTGCACTTGTAAGAGTCACCCTTCTTCCTCGCCTCTGTACCCTCTCCCCAACCTCAAGAACTGGAAACTCACTGAAAGGGGGACATACTCTATGAAGGTACAAAGTGTAATTATTACCTAGCCCAGCACTGGAGTCTCACAGACTGTCATTATCCCACCTAAAAACACCAGAAGGGGGCCCAGGGAGATAGCTCAGTAGAATAAGCACTTGCCTGGCAAGTGCAGGGTCCTGAGTTCAATCCCCAGTACCGGAAAGAAAAAAAAAAAATTCACCAGAAGATGTGAATTAAAAGTTTGTAGTACTTCAGGATTAATGTTATTCAACATGACTCTTTCACAAGATCCTGTATAGCAGTTATTAACATTTCCTTGTATAGGTGAGGAAAAAAATCTGGCCAAGGTGACAAAGAGGGTAAGTGGCAAATTTAAACCCAGCTCCAAGGATTACACTGACTCAGTTACTCTGCTAGTAGAACCCAAGACTTGCTAGGCCCCAAGAGCCTCCTGTTGGTGTCCAAGGAGCAGAGGACAAGATCTCGGCTCAAAGATGTCACCTGTGACCTCATTAGATAGGGAAGCTCCACTAATAACTTTATGTCATGAATAAGAATGGACATATGTCAATAGAAATCATTGTATCTGCTAAGAAAAAAACCTTTTTAGTAAATCCTTTCTGGGACTCCCATTTAGCTTTAATCCCAGAATGCTGTGGATGGGATGATCTAGGCCTTGGTGCGTTGCCTGGCTCTAGGGATCTTTTCTGTGTACTCCCTGGCCCTCGCCCCCTGGTTCTCCTTCCAGAAGGCCAACTGTCCAAACTCCCAGGCCAGAGATGGTCCTGAGATCCTGTTCACAGTTGTTCCAGCACAGGCAAACAGAGGCCTGTGGAGGTGCTCAGGAGCTCAACAGCATGCACTGTGCATTGTTCTCGGGCTGGGGGGTGGGAGAGAGCGCACCAGCAACTTAAGGTGGGGAAGCAGCATCACTTTAATTAACATTGGTACAATTGATATGATAGGCTTCCAAAAAGAAAGTAAAACTTAATTGCTTTCTTAGTACAAAATGCTTGAAGTACAATGTGGCAAAAAATCATCACAGAAGCAGCCAATGGAGCTCAGGCTCCAACGAAGAGATTCAGAGGGCCCTCACCAGGGTATGGTAAGATCTTATATATTTACTGAAAGTAGTACACATTTTTAAAAGTAGTGTAGTGTAGTAATATGAGGCTAGTACTACTGATCCTGTCTTGCTGCTGTGAGTGAATGGAGCGGGGTGGAGGAAAAGGTTCTCAGGCAGATGCAGTCAGGCCTGACCCTGCATGATTCGTGAAGGCATAAGCGCCTTGTTCATCTCTCATCCCAGCACACAAGACATGCCCCATGCACGTCATGTGGCTTGCAGTCCCAGCAGCAGCTCACACCACTACCACAACCAGGACCTCCTGGCACTCCTGAAATCTCTCTGCGTCCCTCCTCCAGCCTAAATTCAGGGACCCAAGGACCTGGGGAGCCTCCTGGCCAGCCCTGCGTTGCTCCATGAAACTTCTCCATTTGTCTGTTGTGTAATGTAAACATCAGAACAGTTATGTACTCTCAAAATTTCATGAAATATTTGCATTCTCCTTGATAATTCTCCCCTCCTACCTTCACCTACATGAGGGCAGACAGGCTCCTGCCTCAGGCTCACAGAGTGACACGAGTTCTGGCCAAGGATGCACCCTGGCAGGCTCCAGGGCTGAGCACCTGACCTCAGTGAGCATTCCAGGATAAGACCTAAACTCAGCACAAAGGTGATAGAACTCAGAGGTTTGGAAATGCACATGGAAAGTTTACTGTAAACTTCATCAGACTATATCAGCCAGCTTTCTGGACTGTGAGGAAATGCCTGAGAAAGCTGTTTTTCTAAAAAGGAAGATTTATTCTGGCTTATGGCTTCAGATCGTGGTCACTGGGCCCTGTTGCTTTGGACCTGGTGTGGTATACCTCAATTAGGGTGGGAATATATAGTCCACTTCACAACAGCCTGGAAGCCAAAAAGATTAAAAAGGACCAGCGTCTCAAAATCGCCTTCAAGAGTATCCCCATGACTAGACTTCCGCTAACTAGACCCCACCTCCTAAAGGTGCCACCGGCTCGCAACAGCACCACAGGAGAGGACCACATACGTCTTTAGCACGTCAGCCTGAGGAGGGCACGACAGATCCAAGCCATAGCAGGTGGCATAGAATAATCCCAATCAGTACTGAATACAATATTGCATTTCCTTGTCTGACAGGCTTGAGTGCCTGTGCTAGAGGATCTGAAGGGCTTCAGAACCCTAAAGACAAGTTAGTCATCAACTTTTCCTAAGTTACCAATCCATGGGTTTTTCCCAATTATGTACTAATGAATGTTTAATAACTGGCTTGTGGGGTAAGAGAGAAAAAGGAGGACTAGTATTTATAGCATTTGCACATTTTTGTGGTAAAAAATGGCCATTTGAAGCTACCAGGCTGAACTTGCTAAATGTCAGGTGGGAAAAGATATGCAGCGGCACACCATTCAGTGTCCCGGGATACTGGAGCTACAGACTAAACGACCTTCAAGGCACAGACAGTGGTAAAGACTGGTAAAATTGCTAGGAAGGGTTTTGTGTATTTTCTCTTTGGTTTTTTTTTTTT